TTTGATACTTCAAACATAAACACCAACACCAACCCCACAACCCTCACCATCACCACCGCACCAGGAGGAACAACAGTAGGCTCGTCTTCCACCTCCCCTACCACGCTAAGCCGCTACGAAAACCAGAAGCGCAGGGACTGGAACACCTTCGGCCAATACCTGAGGAACCACCGGCCTCCTCTCTCGCTCTCACGGTGCAGCGGAGCCCACGTGCTGGAGTTCCTTCGTTACCTTGACCAATTCGGGAAGACCAAGGTTCACACTCAGCTCTGTCCTTTCTTCGGCCACCCAAATCCACCAGCACCCTGCCCCTGCCCGCTCCGCCAGGCTTGGGGCAGTCTTGATGCCCTCATTGGCCGTCTACGTGCCGCCTTTGAGGAACACGGCGGCAAGCCCGAGGCCAACCCCTTCGGCGCTCGCGCCGTCAGACTCTACCTGCGCGAGGTTCGCGATTCACAAGCTAAAGCTCGTGGGATCAGCTACGAAAAGAAGAAAAGAAAGCGACCCCCTCAGCCTCCGCCTCTGCCATCTGCACCACCTGCTCCTCCTACTGATTCTCAGTGACATATCTGCAGGGCTGATATATGGTAGTTCTACAACTGCTTTTATATAATTATATTCTATGGAATATATCCAAATTATGCATGAAAAAAAAGAAAGATGTTGCGTGGTTATCTTCTTTTTTATTTTCTTTCTTTTGCCCTTTTTAGATTTATGTATGCGCTTTGAGTTAAATGAGGCAACATTCCATGATTGACAAAAATATCATCTTCTGTTTGTAAGTGTTTCTGGGTTATGTCGGGTTTAATTAGTGTGTTTATACTTTTCTTGTTTTAGCAAAAACTGGGTAAGCACAGCCCTGATCGGTGCAGTAACACAAAGTGTCAAGGGCATTAGGTGTCGGGTTCAGTAGCGGAGTACTAGAAATGGATACACCATATATCTTTCTAAACTAAAATGTCATAGTTTCCATGGATCGGTACAGTAGTTGTTTGCTGTTGTGATCAGTAGTAGTAAGTAGTAGTAGTGTAACAGTGGTGATGTTTATAGTATAGTTTGTAGTATAAAGTGAATGTAACTTTAACATCCCCAATTTGTCAAAGACCTGTACGTTGAAAAGTTACTTATGACAAGTAATAGATTTGCAGATCATGTTGTGTGTCTTTTTATGAGTTTTTTTTTTTTTCAAGTTACTATTTCCTCTCCTCCTTGCTCCTTTTTCAATTGGGTATTGGCAAATCATACAGGCATTAAAATTAGGTGCGCAAAGCATCATGTGTGTCAGATATCCCCACTGTTTTCATTTTTGGTATCATCTGATGTTTGCTGATTTTGCTGATCAATATATATATCTATATATATGCATGTATATGCTTTACAAAAATTTAGTTGAAAAAAAACTCGAAGAGTGAAGAAATATTATACATACCCTTCTAACACTGTTGAGTAAATACTTATAAACAGTGGCGTGTTAAGCTAGAAATGGAGATAATATAAAACCATTACAAGTTTTCACATACTTCAGAGCAAAAGAAGAGAGAACTGGCAAGCGGCAGTGGTGTAAGTTACTTAGTCTTTTCAAACCAGTAGCTGTAGGATGGGTCTTGGTCTTTCTCTTGAATAGTCTGTGGTCTTATTTATTATATGCAAAATCTATATCCCATTTTTTGCATTATATATGTTTATGTCTTATCAATCATCTTGTATGTTCCCGAAAGAGGAGAAATTATTAAATATATATATCAAAAGGTCCAACATATATCTGATCATCACATGAGCTCCTTCTTGCCAAAAATATATTCTGGTTTTTTGTTTCAATAAACAAAGGTAAGTATGATTTAGACTTGATTTGTGTTCAAATGTTTCTTCTTTCAAAAAAGAAAAGTTAGATTTTGGAAAAAAGACAAGACCAAAAATTTCTGTTTGTTGCTACTATGTTTGGAGGATGGACATAGTTAAAAAAGATTTTGGTTTATATGTTTTTCCTCTACGTAAGAAGCAAATGTAGAAATAATTTCTTGAGCCCGGTAATAAATATATACTTACCTACAAATATATGTATATATATATATACGGGCTGAAACAAGCTGGGGAATTTTCTGATTGTTTATCTTATATTAATGATCTTCTTTAGTTGTATCATATATCATCCCCTGGTTGCTTTTCCCCTCTCTCTCCTGGCCAATTGGGTTTCAATGATAATGAAATTTGATAATCTTCATTAAATCGTGAAGAAGGAAAAGCGAAAAGATACAAAAAGCATGGAAGCGTTATACATGTGTTAAATTTGCCTCCATATCTCTTTTTTTCTTTTTCTCTTCTTATAAATGAGGCCAACATATGAATCATATAACTTCTTTACCTGTCATGTATGGATCTTTCTTTATATATATATATATATACATATGTATGTATTTGTGTGTGCCTGTGTATATGTCCATTGATATGTTTTTCCATTTGGATATGGCTCTAGGGAATCCTTAATTCAAAAAAGGGCTGATATAACAAAACTCTTTATGGCCTGAACTTCGATATTTCTTCTTGGAAGTGGGCTTTCTGTTCCTACATACAGACATAAATACATGCATATAATAATAGATGGATCTTGATTAGGATAGGCTAGTTACATTCTCTCATATATATATATATATATATGGTTATGATTATTTTATATTATTCATTTAAGGCCGTGTTTTAGCCACGTTGATGTTGAGCTTTTATATTACATTTTTATTCTCGTCTCATATTAGAGCCGGGGAATGGAATCCCTTGAAAATTCTTTCGGTGTAGTTGGCGGGTTAGATAAGAGTGTGATTGTCTGTGTAATGTATATATATATATATGTGTCCAGTGGTACCTTAGCACTTGTATATGTGCAAGGTTAATTAATCTGAATGCCTGCTTTTGGCTTACAACTTCTGATGTGAAACAAGTTCTTTATTAATGGGTGTAGTAAATACGATATTAATGATCAGAATACGTCATTGTAATACACATACATACATGTATATTTGCATTATATGCATATACATATAGATATAGTATCCGTAGACATCTTTTGTCGGTGCACCCTCCCATGCATATTTATCATATATATGTGGCTTGTGTAAGTCTATAATGTAAATAATGTGTCTTTTATAGAAACCTTGACTGATGGGGAAGAACTACTGTTGAAGTTGAATAGAGACTTAGGATGCCTTGTTTGTTTGAATAATTAATTATGGCATAGTTACTATTCCGGTTGTATTCATGTCTATTGGCCTTGACTAAATTGTCCTTCGCTCCAAATAATTACAATACCGAGGAAGCTGAATTATTGGAGCTACTTAATACCTACCATGAATATATTACGAGCTAGGTAAGCTCTGTACAGCGTGTATATATGTATATATATCTCACACGTTCAACTCCTCTTTATCTTTTTTTTCTTCTGGGGGAGGATATGAAGGTTTGAATTAGTACAAATATATTATAATTAACTATATGATCTCCCTCTTGAATATTGATAAAAGAAATTTCTGGTACTTTCCTCCATTCTTGAAAACATTTAATTAAGTTGATGCAGAGTGATCTCAATTTTTTTGAGGTTAGCATAAATGTTGGTCCCGGATATTAAGTCAAGGTCAATTTCCCAATATAGATTACTTGTCAATTTACAATTTGTCTGGCTAAATTTTTATTCCATTCTGAGTGGTGAGAGTAGAGGAGGTTCATGCAACCTAACTTTTAATTACGATGTAGTTCTATATTATTTAAGACTCTTCAATCAAAACTAAACCCATCTTAATTTTTTCATGATATTTTTCTATTTCGTATGTTAATCAGGTTGAAATTTTATTTAATATGGGTTCAAAGACGCACGCATTAGCTCAACAGGAGATAATATTTACAAGAAATACATGAAAAAATTTCTTATGTATGTCCATTACTTATTTAGAGTTCGTCTCTTGTCATGTCAGTCCCTCCCTCTTCCTCGAAACTCCAGGTTGTTGTGCTTATATCAACCTGAGTTTGAAAATTAAGCCTTCAAAATGATCAGAGAGATGGGTTCTAGACATAATATCAAACATATGACTAGATGAGGATGCATAAGCTAATTATAGAGTTCATTGAAGAATGTATCGACGATTAAAATGATAATCAATCTTAATATATTTATTGTACTCATAATAAAAAATATTGATGTGAGTAATATGAATAGTAATAATTCGATTATCATAGTTAGAGTAATGTAACAACTGGAGAAGCAAAATAATTCAAATGAAGTGTTTGGAGGAGTGAGATATTTCAGATTTTATATTGTTAAAATTTAAATAATTGATTAGATTATTTTAGTAAGCTTAAATTTTTGAATCGATTCAATCAATTATTTAAGATGATATAAGGACACGACTTTAATGTTCGTATCTTGTTTCTCCAGTCTTTATTAAAAATTAATTATGTATAATATTTAATTGATGCATGCATGCATGATTCATACTTTCTGTCTAAGTAGCTCATGTACGAAGAGATATGTTAGAATATATATAATCTATTAGATCATTTTCTATCAAATTAAACTGTTTAAAATAATTTGTTCAATTAAATAATTGGGTAATAGAATAACCATTTAGAATGAATCACTTGTTTTATTCACAATAAAAAAATAAGCTACATGAAAAAGAAAAAAGTACCTGTGACATAGTGAAAAATAAAATAAAATTAAAAAAAACCAATTAAAAAATAATGACATGATCAAGAGCAGCCATAAATTGATTAAGTGAATTGTGCAAGCCGTATAAAGTCAAGTGAAATGAGATAAATAAGACTCCAACCAATTATCCATGTAATTAGGACCGTCAAGGAAATACCATCCATAGGAGTGTGTTTCATATTAGATTTTCAAGGTGTATCGGTAGTTTTATTATCTATAATATTAATATGCGAAAGCAAATCAAAAGTGTATTTGATTCAAGAGATATTTCGTTAAACACACATTAAATCAACCGCTTATAATGTAACCCAACTCTGATTACAAAACCTTAACCATATTTAACATGTGTAGATCTAATAGCCATAAAAATATAAAATACCGGAGACTAACGAGTGTGAACAAACTTTGATACTGATGAAAAAATTATATTATCTTTAAGCGTAACACAATATAAATACTCTATATTTATTTCATAATCAAGAAAATAATATAGATAAATACGAGACTCTAACACAATATCCTCAGGTGGTTCTAAATAAAGTAATAGTAATATGAGACAAAATATAATATTTTTTCATTATAAAAGAAAAAAATATAACTTTGCATAGATAAATACAATATAAATAAGTAAAAGACTTCAACCTAATATGCTCAAGTGGTTCCTAACAAAGTAATATGGGATAAGATATGATATTTTTTTCATTATAAAAGAAATTCAAGACACCAAAATGAACAAAGAAGAGAGGTTACAAATATGTAAAGAGGCATATTGTTGTATCAGTGCTTACATGGAGTTAAGTTGATTTAACAGTTAGAAAGATAACCAAGAGAGTGAATTCTTATGGAACTATGTCAAAAAGAAACCCAGGTTAGTACATGATATGTAGTTGCTTCAAAGAAGACGCAATAGACGATGAATAACTAATAATAAAGGAGATAGTCTCCAATGTAATTGTTCATGCAACCAAGCCATTAAAGTGGAGTTAAGAAACAATATGGATAGTGATGATAGGAACTAAGTAGAGATGAAATCTTTATAAAAGTTTGAGTATTATTAAGATATGCTAATAGCCAATAAAAAAAAAAGAGTATGCTCCTGACAAGAAAAAGTTAACTATTTTAGCTTTGATACTATGTTAATTTAGTAAAATTATATTTCATAATTGATTTATTTTTTGTGTAAAAAACTTATATTGGTACATGCATATATTAACTTATATAAAAAATATATATATATATATAAAGAAGTTTTAGTATATATAAATACATATCACTTATTTAAGACATATATCCTGTTATGTTAATGTTGTGTATGTGTAACACAATTCATGAATATTAGGTCTTGACTTTTGTAACTCACTTTTTTTAGATTATCTTATCATATGGTGATTGGAGGACAATTTGTGGGT